CGGAGGATCTACGGACAGATCTTAGGGACAGTAGGGACAGAGTAAATCACGTGATCTTACGGACAGCGTATATAAATATGCATAAGTGAAACAATCTTACTTTTTCTGTAAATTTTATTTCTTTCATATAAGCTTATCAAATACTACATGTACATTCCATATATTTTATATTCCTTATCTTTAACTGTGTATAGTCTTAGACGCATAAAATTGGTATAATCAAATATATAACTAAGATACGTATTTATGAAATTATTCTGAATTCAAGTATTTTGTAATGAAACTTAAATATAGCTAATGTATAATTATTTTTTCTTGATCAGTTTTGCTAGTCGAACCGCTTATTGAAAGAAATTGAGTAATACGATCTTGGATCAATAACTTCCAGCGTATTGCAGCTAAAGTGGCAAATTGGGACCATCGATTAACAATTGGTGGAACAGGTGTACCAGGTCTCAATACTAGTGCCACGTAATGATTTTCATTAACAAAAGCCATTGCAAGAGCTTCGTTTCGGTTCAAGGGATGGTGATATGGAAGAAATGTAAGGCTTATTTGTAATGAGAAAAAGTATAACGGTCTTTGGTAGGTATTTGCTATAACATCGCCTATTTGTGGCATTCTCATCCAGTGTTCGAATGTACAAGGACCACTCTCCCAAGAAATCTCCTTTACAATCATATCATAATCATCATTAGCTAGAAATAACATTCGGTAAAATTGCTCCTTTTCATTTAATTCATTCAATAATTCCTTTCTTATCTCTGGCCACTCATCTTCGTTTCTTCCTAAACACATGGCTACTGCTCTATACCCGCAATTGCCATCTCCGTCTACATTAATCACTTCTTTTATATATTCATGCATATAAGCAGGTATTTGATCATAAAATAAAGGTTGTTGCGTATGTTGTGGACTTTTCATAAGTTTTGTTTCTGTTTTTTTTGTATTTTTTCTTTTACAATTTTTTTTTTTTTTGTAGTTTTTTCTTTTTTTATAGCAGCTTTATCTTGAATTTCACTGAGAAGAGGGTCTCGCTTAGTAGATGTTGGATGTTTCTTTTTAGGTGCATTAGGCAACGGTGCCTTTGGAATAACAATTTCTTCACTAGCTAGTGCCTCGATCTTATGCAAAAACGTGGCCTTTGACCCACTATCATTTAGATTTTCATATTTTTCTTCGAGCTTATATAAAATCTTAGTAATAGTAAAGTCAGTTGATAGTGATGGTGGTAACAAGGGTATTGTATCATGTTTCAAATGCCAGCGAGAATGCACAAGAGCAAGTGGAATAGGTCCTGTCTGTGGAATTATGTGACGGCATGGTAATTTATAATTTAATCTTAAGCTACAATCACAAGGGCTATTATCTGTATTTTTATTCTCTCCTATTTCACATACTTCATTTTTGATTTTATCGATTGCCCATTTAGAAATTTTTCCAAGCAACAACTCAAATCTCATATTATTACGTATAAATGGATCAGCAGAAATGATGTTCAAACCAAAGGTTCCATTTGTTCGTAGCTGGCGCTGACGGAAGGCACGGTCAATATGTAAAAAGACTTGTTCCAAACCACTTGCTGCCTCGATTGCTTTTTTTAAAGCACTATGACTTCCTTCTGCTCGCTGTGTCGACTGGATCCCCATATGCGGATAATTTTTAGTAAATACATGCATCCAACATTCGGCATCATTTTTCCATTCCTCAAAATAAGTTTGAATATATTTTGGGTCTCTACTTTTCATTGCTGCTTTATTAACCTCATTAAATGCCTTTTCAACCTCATTCATTTTCTCAGCATAAGCAACTTTTTGGATCGATAATAGAAGTTCATTGTAATCTTCATCAGAGTTAAAGAATTTTCTACACGCAGTTCGTAAGTTTTGCGCAAGCATATGCCATATGCATATCATTTTTTTTGCTTCCGGGAAAACCTTGTCTGCTGCCTTTCGAAGAGCTAAGGCTCTATCTGAAATAAATACCTCTGGAGAACAAGAAAAAAGATCATAGATCGTCTCTTTTAAAGTAAGTAAAAACCATTCGTATGTGGGTTCTTGCTCATTTGATACCCATGCCATTGCAATAGTATATGTATTAAGAGCTTTGGAGTCACCGACATTACTGACACCTACAGCATTTATAAGAGGAAGCTTATATATGTTGGTCTTATACGTTGCATCAACCATAAGCACCTCTGGGCATATTGCTACCTGACGTGCTGCTTCATTATGTGTAAAAAATAAGTTTAACATGTGGCCATCTTTTGTTAATACATGACGAACTATATACTGACGTTCATCCAACATTTGTAGAAAGCGCACTGTAGTATCACGATTTGTACCCTCATTTAAAGCATTTTTTATTCGATCACGTTCATTCATTATATCTTTTGTATATATAGTGCCGTTCTTCCAGTGTATTGCATCAGCAATTGACTGAGTTGATGCGCCACTCTTAAGCATAATATGAACCAACTCTTTTTGTTCTGTACTGAGGCTCCGATGTTGAGGAAGGCAATGAACTTGGGATGGAAGAAGTAGTTCATGATTATGCTCAGTTTTGGAAGATTTTATTACCCAAACTTCAGTATCCTCATTTAAGACAGCTCGTAACATGACAGAGCAATTTTGACGCTTTGTGGACTTCTTTCTTTTTCGAGTTTCTTCAGTGATGTTATGGTTATTTCTATATTTACCCCCCATTGTGCATTGCAATATAATATAAGGAGTGTGACCACCCTTTCCACCACCGGATACTTTTGATGATGATACGCTAAAAGCAAAACCTGCTGCCTTGGCACCTTCCTGCGCTGCTTCTTTAAAGCTTTCTACTGTTGGGAATTCATCGCCAACTTCTGGAATTTGTGGCTGTGGTTGCGACATTTATAAGATAAGTTCTTTTAAAAAAATTTGATCGGTTTATATGAAGAATTAAATAGTTAATACAACAGTATTTTTTTATTAAATGCTATTGAGAAATCTTCCTTTTATTACAAATTAACGACTTTTTATAAGTCATAGCCAGATGGTTTATAAAGTAACGCCGAATATAAAACTTGAAATGTTTAAAAGAAAACCAGTGAGGCAATAATACATTTTCATTTTTCATTTTTTATAATATGATTATGAAACCAAACTAACGGCTTTTTTTTTTTTTTGCTCCAACTTTCCTTACAAGCACAATAATAGGACACAACCAACTGGATTTTTTTTTTTATTTCTTTGCGACTGCATATAATTAATCTTTTCTTGGTGATATTATGTATTGGTAATGCGCACTCTTATGCAGGTTTCATAACGATCTTCAATTTAGGATGTTGATCATGATTTTTGAATTACAGTCTAATGAATAATTACAATTATTTAAGGTAATTTTTCCTTTTTTTTTTAAGCCGGTTTCTCTAGCATGATTACTGAAATCATTTATGCATTTAATGTTTAAAACTTAATGAAATATATATTTAAAATAGAATCATCTTGATTTATATTCAGAGCTAGATAATTTCAGGCAAGATTTTTTTATAACTTGTTTGATGTTTCTCGAAGACTATTTACTATACAAAATAAAGTAATACTAAAAAAATAAAAAAGATCTTTTATTGAGAATTGTTGATGTAACGTATTGAAAGTAATTAATTTTTGAATTTTATGCGTGAATATAGTCTAAAATTTTGCAGAATTTGACCCAGCCGGGTATGAGAACCAATTTATTAAGTTTGTATAGCCTTATGATATTTATATGTTCAATATAGCAATAATTATGTTATGTCTAAAGTTTCGTGATTTCCAAATGTCACATGATCATATCTGTCCCTAAGATCTGTC